CAGAGGGGGCATGAGGAGCACATCACCCCGACTCTGCCCTCTGGGGCTACCAGAACTCCCGGGCGTCAAACTCGCCCGGCCGCCACATGTGTTCAACATCTGCTTGTGTGTGTGAAGGAGGAGATAATGAGTTTGTGTTCACATCGCTGTGTTGAACAATCCAGGCTGCAGACATGTATGATTTAGCACATCATACCCCCCCCCCATGCTGAGTGTTTATGCACATGGAAATTAATGGGGATATCTATTTGTTATGCAAGTGTTTATGTTGAGTGTGTGTGTGTAAAATAAGGGCGATTAGAAGCATGCAGCGCAGCAGGAGGTTAGCCAGCTGCTGGTGCAGCTCCAGCAACCCTGAGGGCTGCAAATCAGGGTAATGATTTAAATGGGGCCTCCTTACACTCTCTCTTCTCCACCTGCATGTTTTTTTCAAAGCAGACACGTTTTTTTTTTTTCCTTCTGATTCTTGGTGCTATGTCCACTCCCTCAATCATGCAAACAAAGCGTCTGTGGAGCCAGAGTCTCTGGCAGCCTGCGGCGGTTAGGAAGCACACTTCAGCCCCGTTCATCACCGCGGCCATGGGTCTGCAAGGGTCACATCTTTAAGGTAATAGTTAATCACCAAGTGCTCAGATTCAGTTAGCAGCAGCAGAGCAGAACAAAGCCAGAGCTGCACAGCAGGCACAGAAGCATATTTGGCTGCTTGATTAAGGCAGAAATCATTGTCATAATAATTTTGGGTCCAAAACGGAAACAGAAATGTCCTTTTTAAGGTAAACTTTCCACAACCTGATAAAAGGTGTGAAAAACGCGCTTTCTGGGTTTAAAAAGCAAAGTTTTATCTGAGCGGTTTAGTCCTCGAACACGAAGAAGTCATGACTGCTGCGTCTCTGATCCCGCTGTGGCCGCTTCACTCCTTGGTTTGCAGGATTTATGACCGATTTGCATGAAACTATTTCCTAAAGAGGGTCGGGTGAAGTCGGGTGTTTGTGATTAACTTTTGATGACAGTCCAGGTCTCGATGCGGGACTTTTATTTTTGTGCTTATCCAGCCTTTTTCTAAGGCATGCATTCTGCTCATGCTAACATACCGCTGCTTAATGTGTGTGGTGACCACTTCTCTGTTTTTACTGCAGAACATTCCAACTTTGGGAACCGTTGCTATAACGATGGCGCTGCATAACTGTGACGAGGTGGCGGTGGCTGGTTTTGGCTACGACATGACATCTCCTCACGCTCCTCTGCACTACTACGAGAATGTCAAGATGTCCGCCATTAAAGAGGTGCGTCGCCCCCCTTTTTTTGACAAAGAATTTGTGGGTTTCTTTTTTTTTTTTTTTTTATTGATGCAAAAATAAAAAAGAAAATGCTTTAACTCATCCTGTTTGGCCTCAGAATAGAAATACGTGTTTAGAGACGCATATGTGACAGGAAAACTATATTTCAAATAAATGGAGTTTATTCATAAAGTTCTAATCAGATGAATTAGTTAAAAACCTTTAAAGGAATAGTACACCCAAAACATGATTAGCCTTCATTTTCTACTCACCCCCATGCT